TTGACCAAGTGGGATTTATACCTAGAATACAAGGATGGTTCAACATCCACAAATCAATCAATGTGACATACCACATTAACAAACTGAAGGATAAAAAAAATCTTATCATCTCAATAGATGTAGAAAAAGCATTTGGCAAATTTCAATATCCATTTATGATGAAAACTCTCAAAAAAACAGGTATAGAAGGCAAATAGCTCAACATAGTAAAGGCCATATATGACAAGCACACGGCTGACATCATATTCAACATTGAAAAAGTGAAAGCTTTTCCTCTAAGAATGCCCACTCTTGCTGCTTTTATTCAACATAGTACTGGAAGCCCTAGCCAGAGCAATTAGGCAAGAAAGAGAAGTGAAAGGCATTCAAATCTGAAAAGAAGTAAAACTGTCTCTATTTGCACATGACAGGAGATACACACACAAACACACACACACACACACATACACACACACACAAGACTTCACAAAAAAACCGCTACAACTAATAAACAAATTCAGTAAAGTTGTAGGACACAAAATCAATACAAAAATCAACTGTTTCTAAACATTAACAATAAATTATCTAAAAAAGAAATTAAGAAAACAATCACATTTACAATTGCATCAAAAAGGCTAAAATACCTAGGAATAAATTTAACCAATGAGGTTAATGATCTGTTCACTGAAAACCATAAGATTTTGAGGAAAGAAACTGAAGAAGACACAAATAAATGAAAATATATACTGTGCTCATGGATTGGAAGACAATATTGTTAAAATGTCCATACTACCCAAAGCAATCTACAGATTCAATGCAATCCCTATCAAAATTCTAATGCTATTTTTCACAGAGACAGAAGAAATAATCCTAAAATTTGTATGGAAACACAACCCTGAATAGGCAAAGCAATCTTGAGAAAGAAGAACAGGCTGGAGGTATCGTAAGTCCTGATTTCAAACTATATTACAAAGCTATAATAATCAAAACAGTATGGCACTGGTATACACACATAGATCAGTATACACACACATAGATCAGAACAGAGAGCCCAGAAATTAACTCACACATATATGGATCAACTAAGTTACAACAAAGGAGGCAAGAGGGGCTTCCCTGGTGGCGCAGTGGTTGAGAGTCCGCCTGCCGATGCAGGGGACACAGGTTCGTGCCCCGGTCCGGGAAGATCCCACATGCCGTGGAGTGGCTAGGCCCGTGAGCCATGGCCGCTGAGCCTGCGCGTCCGGAGCCTGTGCTCCGCAATGGGAGAGGCCACAACAGTGAGAGGCCCATGTACCGCAAAAAAAAAAAGAAAGAAAAAGAAAAGGAGGCAAGAATATACAATGTGGAAAGAATAGTTGCTTCAATAAATGATACTGGGAAAACTGAATAGCCACACGCAAAAAAATGAAACTGGACCCCTATCTTATACCAAACACAAAAATCAACTCAAAATGGATTAAGGAAATGAATGTTAAGCCCTAAAACCATAAAACTCCTAAAAGAAAATATAGGGGATAAGAACGACATTAGTCTTGGCAATGACACTTTTGATTTGACATCAAAAGCAAAGGTGACAAAAGCAAAAATAAATAAATGGGACTACATCAAACTAAAAAGCTTCTATACTGCAAAAAGCTTCTAAACCATCAACAAAGTGAAAAGGCAACCTACAGAAGGGAAGAAAATATTTGCAAATCATATGTCTGATAATGAGTTAATATCCAAAATATATAAAGAACTCATATAACTCAACAGAAAACAAACCCCAAACAATCTGATTAAAAAATGGGCAGAGCATCCAAATAAACATTTTTCCAAAGAAGATATGCAAATGCCCAACAGGTACATGAAAAGGTACTCAACATCACTAATCACCAGGGAAATGCAAATCAAAACCAAAATGAGATACCACCTCACACCTATTAGAATAGCTACCACCAAAAAGACGAGAGATAATAAGCGTTGGTGAGAATGTGGAGAAAAGGGAACCCTTGTGCACAGTTGGTGGGAATGCAAATTGGTGCAGCCACTATGGAAAACAATATGGTGGTTCTTCAAAAAATTAAAACTGTAACTACCACATGATCCAGCAATCCCACTTCTGGGTATATATTCAAAGGAACAGGAAAGGAACAGGAAAACAGGACATCAAATAGATATCTGCACTCCCACGTTTATTATGGTATATTCATAATAGCCAAGATATGAAAACAACCTAAGTGTCTATCGATAGATGAATAAATAAAGAAGATATGATATATATACATATATATCTAGTTATATATATGCTATATATACATAGTGTGTGTGTATATATACACATATACACAAAATCGGCTATTATTTAGCCATGAGAAAGAAGGAAATCCTTGGCTGTGACAACATGGATGGATACTGAGGGCATTATGCTAATTGAAATAAGTTAGAAAGAGAAACACAAGTATGATATCACTTTATGTGGAATCTAAAAAAGCTGAACTCATAGAAACAGAGACTAGAATGATGGTTATTAGGGACTGGTGGGGTGGGAGAAATGGGAATATGTTGATCAAAAAGTACAAACTTCCAGTTATAAGTTCTGAGGATCTAATAATGTACAGGACGGTGATTATAGTCAATAATACTGTATTGCATATTTGAAAGTTGCTAAGAGAGTGGATCTTAAATGTTCTCATCACAAAAAAAGAAATGGTAATCCTGTGATGTGAGGGAGGTGTTAACTAACACTATGGTAGTAGTCATTTTGCAATATAAAAGTGTACATCTTAAACATATGCAATGTTATATGTCACTTATATCTCAATAAAGCTAGGAAAAAATAAAATATAATAAATTAATATAAATTCTGATATTTTCTCTTGTGCCTACATGGAAACATAACAAGAAGCAAGTGCTTTTTTGTCTTATTTGGTAATAATATTAAACATTTTTTTAAACTTTCCTAAATTTTATCCAAATTATTGTAGATATAAATACATTTTATGTTTCATATATTTTTACAAATTTTATATAACATATTTTTAGATTTATTTTATAATTTAATATTTTATTCAAAAATAAAATTTATTTATAATATATTTTCTTATATTAAAAATGGACCCCTGGCTTTACAAAGGAGAATTAAGAGATTTCTCTTCTCATCTCACAGGTGTTTCATCAGGAAAAGATGAAATCAAAACGTCAGAGATTTCTCTGACTTGTGAGAGTGGGACATCTACTCCAAAGTAATGCGCTAAACTGTAAATGAAAAACAAATATGAGGAAAGTTATTTCTCCCTTGGCTTTATAGATGTTAATAATTTACTTTACTGTGTCTTATTCAATTGAATGTTTTCAAATACTATTATACTGCTAATTAATTGCAGCAGCAACTTGAGACCAATCATTCAGAATCTAAACAAAAAGGAATTAAATAATTCAAATGTGTATGTGATAAGTTAATATTTCATCAACAGAACTGTACTTCTGCCTTAAAATTGAATCTCTAGATATGGCTGGACAAGTTGTGTTGCTTGTATTCATCTGGTATTAGCACCAACTAAGGACAGGAGTTTTTTTTAGGTGAACTTGGCAATACACACGTGGTACAGAAATACTTGAAGTGCTGAATAAATATTTTGAATCCCATGGTTCTCCTAGAACAACTGTGTTGACATATGCATTCATAGTGCAAAAGCAATAGTGAGTAAAACTGCTATGCCTAACACAAATCAAAGAAGGGACAGTAGTCACTGTATTCTTTACTACTACATACTCACAGTAAAAACACTGCCAGTTTCACATAAAAATGCATTTCATGAAAAATATTAATATAAAATATTGATTTCATTAAATTTTACCCTTGAGGATACTTTCAATTAAAAACATTCTGTGTGGTGAAAAGGTATGCATAAAGCATTTCTGCTACATACCAAAAAACGATGATTGTCTAGAGGAGAAGCACTTGAGCAACTTGCTGAGCTATAAGATCAACTAGCCACTTTTTTCCTTCTTGGAAATTTACTTGAAAAAAATCACTGGCAGACAAACAATCGTTATTCAGACTTGAGTATTTGGCACATACTTTCTCAAAAATTAGAGAAGTGACCCTAGCACACTAAGGAAAACAACTGACAGTATTTATAACCAATGATAAATTTGAGTTTTTAAGCTCAGAAATTAGAATCTTGGAAAATTTGCTTTCACCAATGTGAGCTTTACAGCTTCCCAACACTTATAAGACATTTCTGATGAGACTGGTGGTGAATGAATGTAAATTTTGATAGTATAAAGTGAAATATGTCAATGTTTGGAAGATCTGCCTAACTTAATGAACCAATATTTTCCAAATGAACCATGTATGAAGCTATAAAATAAGATCCGTTAAAAATGCAAGACAGACCAATTGGTTTTAATGTAACAGCATGAAGAGCTCATTGATATAATTTCAGATTCCACATTGCAACTAACCTTTAAAAAACCACCATTTTCAATTTTTGGTGATGTATCCATGTCGAATATCCACAATTACCTGAGATGGCTATTAAAATATGTCTTTAACAAGTACATAACTGTGTGAAGCTGGATTTTCTTCATATACCTCTACCAAAAAAACATATTGCATCAGACTGAATACAGAAATATCTGTGAGAACCTAGCTCTCTTCTTTTAAGTCAAACAATAAAGAGGTTTGCAAAAATGTGAAAACAATGCCACTCTTGTTAGACAATTTTTTTCTTGGAAAAGGTCACTGTTTTTCATTAAAAATACGCTATTTGTATTAACATGTAATCAATTTATTGTTATTTTAAAATGAAGTGATAAATATTTTTTAAACTTTTGTTTTAATTTCAAATATGGTAAATATTGATAGACAGAACCCACATTTTTTAGAAAGCTCATTGAGATCCTCAATAATTTTTAGGAATGTAAAGTGGTACTGAGACCAAAACATTTGAAAATTGCATTTCCAACATACTAAAGTATTCTAAGAAAAGGAAAAACAAAATTGAATGATAAGGTAGATGGTCATCACTTACAGCAAAAAAGCCTCATTCACAGCATCACAGAACTCAGGCCAGAGCACTTCCTGAGGTTCATGTCCATGGTAGGTGAGCAGAGCCTCTACCAATGGTTCAAAATCTGGCAGAGTAACAAGTGGGACACAAACTCGTGACAGGGACCTTACTCGTTCAGGAGCCATTCTATGGAATAAATAAAATGAGAAATAAGTACCCAAATCTTACAGCCACATGTACTGATAGTTAAAGGCATATAAAATCTTCATGTTAAAAAGGTTCATGACAGGTCATTTGCTTTGCCCCTCATATAAAAAGGGGTACCCTAACACCATCTATGAACTCTATTCTCTTACATAGTTCTCTAGGAAGAAACCCTTTAGCTGCAGTTCCCATTTTGATCTCTCTCATTGTCAGGACTGTGGCTTAACCCTCTACAGGCACCTCCCGCTTACCATGCCCAAAATAGAACTTGAATTCCTTCCCCAAATGTTCTCTTCCCCCAGTGCTCCCTATCTCATTTGCTCAAGCCCAAACCCTTGAAGTCCATCCTTGATTCCTCCTTTTTCTCTCCTGCCCCTTATCTGATCCAGTGGTTAATACCATTAGTTCATTTCATTACTTCTCTACACATCCATCACTACCGCCTAATTCACCATCACCTCCAGCGTGGGTTACTGTAGGGCCCTCCTAATTTTCTCCCTGCTTCTGCCCTCACCTGTCTTGTCTCTCTCTGGAACAGGTCCAGACCCCTTAAAAATTCAGATCACTTCACTTGTCTGCTCAATGGCTTTCCACCTCACACAAAGAACAAGCCAAGTCTTATATTAGTTGCCAAGGACTTCCATGGTGGGGCTCCCTCTGTTTCTCTGGCTTTATCTCTTTCCACTCGTACCTTGCCCATTCTGCTCTGGCCTTTCCAGCCTCTGACTACTCCAGATAAGTTCCTGTTGTTCATTCTGCCTGGAACACATGGTTAGCTCCTTCATCTTGTATAGGTCTCAGCTCAAATCTTGCTTTATGTAGGGGAGTTCCCTGACCATCCCATATAAATGCACTGGCTAATATGGTAGCAATCAACCACATATGGCAACTTAAACTTAAACTAACTGGAATGAAATGAAACTTAAATTCCATTCCTCAGTTGCACTAGTACAGATCAAGAGTTCCAACAGCTACATGAGGCTAGTGGTTTACTGTATCAGACAGTGCAAATTCACAAGGCTTGTCCATTACTGCAGAAAGCTCCACTGACAGCACAACTAAACATATAAGTGTCCTCTTATCTCACTGTGTTCTTCTCTCTCTTACCCTGTTTTACTTTTCTTCACAGTACTTTTCATCACCTGACCTATAATGTATTTGCTTGTTTATTGTTCATGGTCTGTTTCTTCCTGCTAGGACATCCACTCTGTAAGGGCAGGCACTTTTCCTATTTTGCTCACTCCTCTATTCCTAGTATGTAGGGACAACTCCTACTTATAGCTCCAGAAACAGATATTAAATGAATAAATGAACAACTAGAAACCAGGAAGATGAAAGTTTGGGATATATGCTATTAGATCATTCTCTAGGTATCTTCATATAAAACCATAAATCTACAAATTTAGTCTTTTTTTGTGAAACAAATGAAACCACAATATAGAACATATAGCTGTCACTCATTTTTTTTTTACTTGTTGCCTATTTTTAAAATATATGTGTTTTGTATTTTAACAATATCTCCATTTATGGGCATTTAGGTTGTTTCTAATTTTTCACTATGAAATACTGCTGCAGCAGTATCCTTGCACATGCCTGTTTGTGCCCCCATGTGAACATCTGCATATTGAACTGCTTTCCAAAAGACTACCAATTTACTTTTCTACCCCTGACAGTGATATTATTCTGGATATTTTTACTTCTTCCTAATCTGGGCAAAAATTATCCCATTGTTTTCATCTGCATTTCCCTGATTTTTTTTTTTTTTTTTTTTTGCGGTACGCGGGCCTCTCACTGTCGTGGCCTCTCCCGTTGCGGAGCACAGGCTCCGGACGCGCAGGCTCAGCGGCCATGGCTCACGGGCCCAGCCGCTCCGTGGCATGCGGGATCTTCCCAGACCGGGGCACGATCCCGTGTCCCCTGCATCGGCAGGCAGACTCTCAACCACTGCGCCACCAGGGAAGACCCCCTGATATTTTTTGAGATTGAATATTTGTGTGTTCCCCACTTGTATTTCTGCTTCAGTGAATTTGTTTTTGAATTTTTGTATATTTGTCCTATTTATTCATCTAATAAATATTTTTGAACCCTTACTATATTCCAACCTGTTTGCAGTGGTAGTGCTACAGAAGCAAAGACAAGACAAAGCTTAGTAATGAAAAGCATAAAATGCCAGATGATATCAAGTGCCATAATGAAAGTAAAGTACACTGAGGGGTAAGAGAGGGCAAGAATTTACTGAGGGGAGCATTTGAGCAGAGATCTAAAGGAAGTGTATGAACAAACCATATATGTACGCGGGAGAAGGATGTCACAGGCAGATGCAAAGCAAACACGAAGACCTGGAGTATCTAAGTACAACAGAGTCCAAGGTGGCAAGTCCACAGTGAATGTGGCGGTGGGGGTGGGGGAGAAGACAGGTTTTGAAGAGACCAGTGTAAGAACCTGGGATGTTAGTCTTTTTTTTTTTAACTTATTTTTTAGTTTTATCAAACTTACAGATACAACTACCTTAAATAGTCAAATAGCTCTTCAAAGCTTATGAAAAAACAGCAGCTTTTGAACAAGCACTCCCACTCCCATTTTCTGATCTCAGAGGCAACCATTTTCAAGTCTAACTCATGCTTTAGATATTTAATGTTTTTTCCTGTGGGTTTAGTGATATTATTTGGCTTGCTTGTTTGCTTTTTTCTTGGCACTGATGATTATTTTAATGCTAAACTCCCGCCCAAGTATGTAATCTCCTTGCAATACGTTCAAACATATCTGATATTCTGCCATTTTCATCTTAAAAGAAATTTCTCTTAGAACCTTCTGACCTATTCCAATCTGAACAGGTTGCTTTTTACTCCCTTTGTACAGTTATCTTGGGACCTCTACCATAGGGATTTCTTTCACTTCTCTCCTGGATCCCATAACTTCTTCTTTCTTGGTTTATTCTTCTTACGTGAGAAAAGGTACAAGAGAGGTAAAGTATCTGAGACCTTGCATGTTTGAAAATATCAGTACTTTACTCTCATACTTGATTGATACTTTGGCAGATTATAGAATTCTGGTAATTTTTCTACAGAATTGTGAAAGTATGGTTCTACTATCTTTTAAATTTCAGTGTTGTTCTTGAGAAGTCCCATGCTGCTATGAATCCTGACCCTTTATATAAGTCCTGTTTTTACTCCCTGGAGGCTTTTGGATATCCTCTTAGAAATTTCACACTGATGTGTCTTGGTATGCATTTATTTCTATTCATTGTGCTGGACATCCAGTGGACCTTAAATCCGGAAAGATCTTTTGAATTTCTTTGATGATTTCCTACCTGTTCTTTTCTCTGTTCTTTCTGGGGACTCTGATTTTTTGGATATTGAACTTCCTAGACAGTTCTCTCTTTTCTTTCTTATTTTTCATCTCTTGGTCTTTTTGCTCTAGATTTTGAAAGAATTGTTCAACTTTACTTTCCAACATTTTACTATGTTTTTAATTACCACTCTCTCATTATTAATTTCCAAGAACTATTTTCTTCATTCTCTGGATGTTTCTTTTTTAAAAAAAAAAAACAGCATTCTGTTCTTTTTTTAAATTTTATTTTTGTCTTAGGACTCCTTTATTGATTTAGTTTTATTGAAGTATAGCTGCTGTACAATATTATATAAGCTACAGGTGTACAATATAGTGACTCACAATTTTTAAAGGTTATACTCCATTTATAGTTATTATAAAATATTGGCCATATTCTCCAGGTTGTACAATATATCCTTGTAGCTTATTTTATACCTAATAGCTTGTATCTCTTACTCCCCTACTCCTATATATTGCCCCTCTCCCCTTCCATCTCCCCACTGGTAACCACTAGTTTGTTTTCTATATCTGTGAGTCTAGCATTCTGCTCTTGTTTAGTGGATATATTACCTTTTATTTTAGTAGGGACTTTTTTTTTTTTGGCTGAGTTGGGTCTTAGTGGCGACATGCAGGATCTTTTCGTTGTGGCGCGTGGGCTTCTCTGTAGTTGTGGTGTGCGGGTTTTTTTTTTTTTTTCCTCTCTTTAGTTGTGGTGCAGCAGGCTCCAGAGCATGTGGGCTCTGTAGTTTGGGGCACGTGGCTCTCTAGTTGAGGCGGGCAGGGTCTCAGTAGTTGTGGCACACGGGCTTAGTTGCCCCATGGCATGCGGGATCTTAGTTCCCCGAGCAGGGATTGAAACCACATCCCCTGCATTGGAAGGTGGATTCTTTACCACTGGACCACCAGGGAAGTCCCTTAATGGGGACAATGACATGAATTTATTTTAGATGATCTTTTCTTTAAATAATCTTTTTTTTCTTTATTTTCACTGGTTTCTACTTTCAAGACTATATGCTTAATATATTTCCTTCAATATGTAGTGACCATTGCCTGTCATCTTTTTTAAAACACCTTAAATATATATATATATATATAAATTTATTTTATTTTACTTAACACCTTCAATAAACTTTATTGAAACCAACATTCAAATAGTATCTCAAGGGTGAAATTCTGTTTCAGCAAAACCAATTTAACAATTTCAAATATATATAAAAACATTTAAAAAGTAATCTTGTTAAAGGTGATCATTTCTCCTTCCCCTATTTTATCTTCTATACATTACTGCACCAAATAAACAGGGAAGACTCTGTTCAATCATCTGCACCAAAAAAAAAAAAAAAAAGAAGAAGAAAAAGAAAAGAACGGAAAACTGCAGTTTGACAAGTGCCAAATATCAGAAATCACATCAAATCAGAGTGTAATTATAGGCTTAATGTGTTATAACTAAGGCTTTCGATAGTACAGTCCACAAACCCAATGTGAATTCCCACCATTTTAAGGGCTCCCGTAGCTTGACTTTGCTGGACTAAAACGCACAGGGGCCGTTACCTATGATAAATGAAGTGATGCAATACTATTGGAAAAGTAGAAACGGGTAGTAACTAAGGGTTTACTTCCAGTTATTTCAGCAATAGTCTGGCTTGACCAGC